TATGGTTGGGATCCGAGCTACATGCCACCAGGTGATTCCTCGGGAGGCTTTAATCAAGGTAACTAGTTAAGCTTTTAAGTTCAGTTATAGATTCGTTGGTACAGTTGTTTAGATTTTAGATAAGTTAGATAAGAACACAGAGATTCCTAAATCTTTTCCAAGTGTTCCAAACAGAAAATTCCAACCTTTTGGTTCATTACCTTTTCTCTTCGAGAACTTGATCTACCCGTTTCTTCTAAGTTTCGGGACGAAACTTCTTTTAAGGGGGATAGAGTGTAACAACCCAAAATTTCATTTTATAAATCCGGTATTAAGAAATCCCAAAATAGCTTTTTTTCACTCCATTAAATTTTTTTTACGAACAATTGGTGTTTGAATAAATTATTTTTCGTCACATTTTAAATTAATTCAACACCAAAAATGGATTCTATTCGAAAATTCCTAAGTTTTCGGGTACTTCGCGTACCAAGATTTAAATCGAGAAATTTATCTTAGTGAGACCGGGAGAATTCAAAAAGATTTTAAACAAGTGTTCATCCAAATAGCTTTTTGAGAAAATTCATTTTCAACCCCAAAGTATTTAAAGTTAGCATTTCTAGCCTTGGTCCATGATACAAAGTGAACCATTCCATTCCAAAAGACTTTATTCATTTTATGCAAGCTTTTACCATTTTGCCCTCAACCAATCATTGGCCTTCTACCTAGGGTTTTGGACCCTATATAAACCCCATTATTCCATCTTGATTCCCTGATCTCTTTCTTTGCCTCTCCACACAAATTGTCTGCCAAGAGAAAGAGAGAAAACAACATCACAGTAAGCTCATTTCATTCTTCGATCCTAGCCTTCATTTCTCTTCTAGTTATTTTAATCTTTGAGGTTCTAGGCTAAGGTTGTATGGTGTGTTTGGGAAGTATAGATGGTGAAGGAATCTCAAGCTAGATAGAGAGGAAGAAGAGATCCAAGCTAGAAGAAATACTACAAGAGGTATAACCCCATGGATTCCTCTTTAAAATTGGCTCTGTGAAGCCTTAGTTTTGAGTAGAAATGAGCATAAACTATGAGTTTTTGATGTGTTCATGCTTAGAAGCGATTTAGTATTTGTTTGTGAGTTGTTGAGATTGTTTTGGACTTGTTTAGATTAGTTTTTGCAGATGAAAAACCTTCTGGTGCACAACACAGTGTGCACCAGATCAGATGAACGGCCCTAGCCGTGGCCCATCAGGAGGGCCGCTGGCTAGAGTCGTGCTTGCACGGGACTAGGGCACGGCCCTAGAGGAGGGCCGCTGCCTAGTCCCGGTGAAGTAACAGGGTGTGAGGGGCGGACCATGAGGAGTCCCGCCCTAGGCCCTGACTTTGATTTTGAGAAGAATCTGTGCAGTGGTCGGGCCCTTGTGGCTCAGCTACATGTCGTTTCGGGCCGAGTGTTACGGGCCCTTGTGGCTCGGCTCTTCGGGACCGTCTCGATGCACGTTTTGGCTTTGATTTCATTAAATTTGGATTTAAAATGAGTATGCTATGAAGGAAATTGTGAAGAAATACTACATAGAGTATATATTTTGCTATGCACTGTATATGAGAAGTTGTATCTTTGTGATCTGTTTGATGTTTTATTAAGTATAGAAGCATGATCGTTTGAGAATGTGATTCACTACTGTAGTATGATTTAATCGTATTATTTGATCCAAGAGAATAGAAGCATATTTGTTGAAGTGAAATGTATAGAAGTTGCATGTGTGCAAATCGAGCATGACATTATATTTTGAATTCTTCATGTTATTTTATACATGACTTAGAAGCATGTTATAGAGCATTATGGCATTTCACATGTGTCATTTTTCAAAAATGCATAAGGGGCCAACGTGAGCCCGAGAATACTTTCAAAAACCATAAGCATGTGGTATATCATTCTTTGATGCATTGAGAAGTAGTAGAGTTGTTTGCATGCATGAGATTGATGCATGTGAGATATATTTATGTATTATCTATATCAGTGAGGTTTTGGAGGATACCGTTTGGACTATGTCATCTCGGGAGATATTTTTATGGACATTGCGGTCCCAGTATATGTAACGCGGTGTATTCCCACGTTACGAGGTTGGAAACTGCCCGCCAGGCTTGGAATCCTGGTCAAGGGGTGTGCACACTAATAGTTCGATACCTGATTCCACAGAGTTTGAACCACGAGATTGGTTCCGTAGACGGTAGGAGATATTGGGTCCGATTTATGTCGTTCCCGATGGGATAATTTACGCTTCAGTGAAACCCTAAGCCGTCTACGAGTATAGAGAAAGAAAGAGAGTCAATAGAGACTCAAGAAATAGAGTCAAAAGAGACTCCAGAGAAAGAAAGAGAGTCAAAAGAGACTCCAGAGAAAGAAAGAGAGTCAAGAGAGACTCAAGAAAGTAAGAAAGAGACCTCCACAGAAAGTACTCTATTTTTATAAAGACTGTATGAGTATTTATATTTATATTATTGCACGAGATTGCATATGAGTAATAAGTATGAGTATATAGTTGCACGAGATTGCATATTAGTATGATTATATTATTGCACGAGATTGCATATAAGTATGAGTATATTGTTGTACGAGATTGCATATTAGTATGAGTTTATTATTGCACTAGATTGCATAAGAGTATGATTATCTTATTGCACGATGTTGCATATAAATATGAGTATATTGTTGTACGAGATTGCATATTAGTATGAGTTTATTATTGCACTAGATTGCATAAGAGTATGATTATCTTGTTGCGCGAGATTGCATATAAGTATGAGTATATAGTTGAACGAGATTGCATATTAGTATGATTATATTATTGCACGAGATTGCATATAAGTATGAGTATATTGTTGTACGAGATTGGATATTAGTATGAGTTTATTATTGCACTAGATTGCATAAGAGTATGATTATTTTATTGCACGAGATTGCATATAAGTATGAGTATATTGTTGTACGAAATTGCATATTAGTATGAGTTTATTATTGCACTAGATTGCATAAGAGTATGATTATATTATTGTGCGAGATTGCATATAAGTATGAGTATATTGTTGCACGAGATTACATATGAGTATGAGTATATAGTTGCACAAGATTGCATATGAGTATGATTATAGCATTGCACGAGATTGCATATGAGTATGAGTATCTAGTTGCGCGAGATTGCATATGAGTATGAGTATATAGTTGCACAAGATTGCATATGAGTATGATTATAGTATTGCACAAGATTGCGTTTGAGTAAAGTATCGTATGAGAATACATAATGAGAATGTTGATTTATAATCGTGTTGTTGTATTAAGAAGTCTTGTTTATCGAATTATGAGATGTGAATATGAAAGCATGAGAATACCTGTTATATGGTTTATTAGCATGATCCGATCTGTAAGTATGAATTGCTTGTTAAGTTACTTGCGAAGTTATTGTTGATGAATCTATGTGAACAGTCTTATACATATTTGAGCATGCCAACTGATATTATAGGGTGCAAGCATCTAGAAAGAATGTTATAGATCTAAAGATGATTTGAGATGAGCTTATTGCTATATAAAGAAATCATATGTTTTCTAAGTAAATGCTAGAATGCTTTACAGGGTTGAGTGTGGTTATACTTAGCTTTGTGTTAACGGGTGTTTTTCCTATTTGTCTATGTGTTGCTTGCAAAACCCCTTTCAGGTGGGCCCAGCAGTGTGAAGAAGTCGAGTTAGATTAGTCTCATAGTTAGAGATATCTAAACTCTAGTTTGATTGATGTTTATGTTATGGATTTAGACTTATCGACTTTATGTTTTGAGGATGATGTAGACTACTTGGGGTGATGTTTTTCCCCTTATGTTTTCAGTTTTTATGATGGATGCCAGACTTTTACTTTATTTCTAGTTTTACCCCTTTAGCCTGTGCAATCACCACGGAGTGGTGGTTGTGGCGGTGACACTCCCACTATTTATCTTTTAGTTTTTTCGCTGCTTAGTGTTGTAAATGACTGTTTAGAGTTGTATTTAAGAGTTAGAAAAATGGGGTATTACAAAAACAATATACAATTCAAAGGCACAACAATGGGCTCTGGAAGAAACAACAATGTGCTCATGAAGGCACAACAATGTGCTATGTAAGGCAAATCAATGTGAAATTGTGCACTAGAATGTATATTAGGGTACTCTGGAAGGCACAACATTGTGCTCTATAAGACATAACATTGTGCGCTGCAAGAAAGGAAAATACGCACTAGAAGACCAAAAAAAAAAAAAAAAAAAAAAAAAAAAAAAGAACGAACTTATGTAAACAAAATTACCATAATGCCACTACGTTTTTCTTTTTTTAAAAAAATATTTTTAATTTGAACCCTTGATCTGGACTCAATCTACGGATATAATTAAACCCTATTTTTCACCTAAGACAATTGTTTCATATATATATATATATATATATATATATATATATATATATATATATATATATATATATATATTCCATTTTTTAATATTTATATATTTCTCCTGTATTTTACATCTTACATTTTCTTAATTGTCATATTTATGTGTTATATGTCTCATTTCTTGATACGTAGGTGTCTGTGAAATTTGATATTTAATTAAATTAAAAGAAAACTAAAGGAAAAAATATATATAATTTTTAATTTTTCAATTGTTTGCGGTGTAGATTTAGTAATTAAGTTCTTAATAAAGCAACAAATAGGGACCAAATCTTTCAATTTCTTTTTTTTTTTTTTTTTTTGAGAAAACTTAAAATCTAAATCTAAATAACTAAATGATTAAAAATCACAACTAAAAGACTAGAATGACATTTTCTTTATTAAAAAAATAACAATCAATATGCCCCTTTAATAATGTAATTCTGTAAACCTGGAGGGCTTCTATGAAAATTCACCATGACCAATTGACCATTCTTCAAATTATCCTACCGTTGGCATTTGGCAGACAAGATAACCGTTAAGAACATTCTTAAAACCTACCACTTTGCATCTCTTTACTGTTTCGATCACCCCCTTCATATTCGGGTGTGGAAAGACTTCCTCACAAACTGAAACTCCACAATCACCCAATGGGCTGCGTATCGTCCAAGCACGCCAGAAAGGATCTCAAGCGAGAATTAGCATTTGAAAATGGCGGCGGCGTTGCCAACCACGTCGTATCGCTCACTTCAAGCACTTACGGAGTCCTCGAACTCGACGGCGAGCCGCAATGCGTCAAGAAATGCGTGATTGAAGTGAAGAAATCGTCGCCGCCACGTGAAGAGCCAGCCGAGGTGATCAACGCTTGGGAGCTCATGGAGGATCTTGATGAAACAGAGATTCCCTGTTTGGTTCAATCCAAGAAAAGCCCTAAACCTCGTGTTTTTCTCGACACTAGAAGAAGCCCTTTGAGGTTCTTGAACCAAAAGGGATCTCCGAAGAGGTTGAAAAGATTCGGAGGCAAAGAGAACAATGGTGGAAGAGCAGAGTCGAGCCCGAAAACGGTTCTGAAGAATAAAGTTCATAATTTGAATGAGAGTCCATTGAAACAGAGAATTCCCAAGAAGGAAAGTCCAGAAACGGCAAAACGTGACGGTTTTAATGGCGATTCCGGGTCGCGGAGGAGGAGCTTGGGGCCTCTGTTTGACCCGGAGCTCATAGCATATTTCGAGAAGGAGTTATCCGCCGAGGCAGAACGGAAGAAGAAAGCTTTGTCATCACCGTGGCCAATAATTTCGAGAAAACCCAGGAACCCTTCCAAGGACGATGATGCTGCAGAGGCAATCCTCGAACAGTTCGACAAAATCCTCCCGCCGGGCGGCGAAAACGCCGTAGTACTTTACATTACCACGTTGCGGGGCATAAGAAAAACATTCGAGGATTGCAACACGGTCCGGTCCATCCTGGAATCGCATCAGGTTCGGACGTCGGAGCGCGACATATCGATGCATTCCGGGTTCAGGGAGGAGCTGAGAGGACTAATGGGCACAACGGAGGTTAGGGTGCCTGTAGTTTTTGTGAAGGGGCGGCTGATCGGCGGAGCTGACGAAGTTGTGAAGCTGGAGGAGGAGGGCAAATTGGGAATTGTACTCGCCGGAATCTCAAGGGCGGCGGCTGGATGCGGCGGCTGCGGTGGGATCCGGTTTGTGTTGTGCTTGGAGTGCCATGGGAGCTGTAAGGTGTGGGATGAGGATGGAAATGGAAAGAGTAGTGTCAAGTGTGGAGAGTGTAATGAGAATGGATTGATTCAATGCCCCATTTGTTGTTAACTATGCAAGTTAATAACATTTGGTTTGTTTAGTAATTATGGTTTTTGGTTTGTGGAAGACATGAAAGATTGAAAGTAAGGAGTGTGCTGTTTTGTTGTATTTACACGTCCATCATGTATATGTTCATGTGTCAGAACAAGGAGAGTATTTGTTGTGTGTTTGGTTCTTTTGAAAATACTACTATACTAGAGATTGGTACTATACTACTATACTAGAGTTTTTTCACTTGCACTTACCACCTTACGTCGAGGGACGGAACCTGAAAGAAGATGTGGACACAAGGAGTTTAATAAAATGGCGAGAATAATTAAAGTTGTTACTAGAACTTGAATTACTTGATAGGCTGATGTTCGGATTATGACTTTGGCAATAGGCAAAACATCTTCCAAGGATCAAAGTTAATACATTACACTACTTCCTATACCTAGGGCCATTCTACGGCATCCAAGCAAGGAACACCTAATTCAAGTCCCCTACATTCACCTTAGCTTGTTTACATTTGGTGTTGACTTACTTGCCTTCTTTACATTACTTGTTGAGATTGCGTGTTACTTGTTGCTTAGATAATGTTCTCTCTAGTGTTGAGACCTAGCTTTCTACCGCTTGTGTGCACGTGTGCTTAGCCGCACATTGTTCAATTCCCACGTGCAATCCTTTAATAAAAACTCGAGAAAGATTCCATCTTGCTCAACTTACTTTCCATCCATTGCATACTACGACTATCACATGTAGACAAAGAAATACTTTCGATAAACAATTTGATGTTAAAATCAATAATAAAAGAATGAGATTATTATATATGCCTAATGAACTGTTCAGGCCAATAATGGATATAAGGGTAGGGAAAAAAAACATGAAACCCTTCTACTATTATAAGTTCAATCAAATTATTGATTTACTTACACTTGTTGAAACTTGCAACTTCTTCATGTAATCAAACACACCATCATTTTTTATTCTGATCATTGAGGACACCATTCTCTAATTTGTCGGGAGAAAACATCCATATAATATATCATCACCATAAGAGGAAACCTTCTTCATGACTAATTCTTGATATACCTTTGGACGATGAATGTCGTTGAGTGTTTTCTTACTCTCAATAGAATAGTAAAATACTGTCCGCACGAGTTTAACTCACCAGTTCAGTAGACAGTATTTGGGAGAATAGATTTAGATAACAATATTTGAACTTTGACAGTGACAGTGTAAAAATTATATCTAAAGTGGACAAATCCTTTGTGTCGAACAACCTAAAATTTAATAGTTAATAAATGTTACCCGATTAACGGTGTAGGCGAAATAGAGTCATCATGCATGCTTTTCTATTTTGGGAATTCAGTATGGCTTTGAAGCGGCATTGAAAAATCATTTTCAATTGATGGTGGTTATTGTGTTTTCAAGTTGTTTAAGAATTTTATTGAAGATATTTTCAAAAAATAATTTTATTGAAGATTATAGGATGGAGAAGACTGAAAAGGATAATGTAACTTTGGTCTAGCCATTTAACCACTTCCTTGAAAATTCATAATTTAAGGCTATGGAAAACTTAGCGGAAAGTTAAAAAGTTATATGCTAGAAGTTGAAAACTAAAGAATTGTTAAGTTAATTGATTATGCTTAAAAGTATTTGATAAAATTAGCTTTTTGATAAGCTTATAAATGTAAAAGACTAAAAAAGACATTTTTATAAAATTTAAATAATTTTAAATTTAAATAGGTTTGTTTACATATTAAAATTTAATATTTTGAAATGAAACTATTAGCATAATCATGATCTAGCATTTCATAATCAAGTAGCAATATTGTTACGAATCTTCTTCATCTCAATAGAGGTGTCACTTTTTTTTTTTTTGAAAGGGAGTTCTCACTTAAATTTTCATTGATGAATATATTACTACTTGAATCTTGAAGTTCATTAGGCGGCAGTGGCGGACCCAGAAAATTATCTGAGTGGGGGCGAATATTAAATGACGTTAAAAATGTCAATGACAAAATAACAAACAACCATAATAAGCAGTGACGGATCCAAAAAAATATTTTCAGTAGGGGCGAAACATTAAAACAAAAAAGATAGCTTAAAAAATGAAACACTTAAGAAGTTAGCCATAAATATTGTTAGATATGAGCGAAAATTAAAACACATCAAATATTTATAAAAATATTTATAATGAAATATGCAACATAATTAATTTGATAAGATAATTCTAATACAAAAAATATTATAAATTACCCATTTCATTTTATATATATATATATATATATATATATATATATATATATATATATATATATATATATATATATATATATATATATATACTAATTTTTTACGCGCTTTGCGCGAATGGGATAATGCCCAACGATTATTTTTAAATAAGTATTTCGAAGTATATCAACGCAATATTATATCGGAGATGTTCATGCATATGTAAATAAATATTGAATTTGTTTATTTAAATCGGTAATTCAAAATATATAAATGCAAGATAATATTTATTGAATTTTCTAATCGATATTTGGTAGTGGTAGTTTTCCCCTACATGTTTCATGCATTGTGAGATGTGCGTTGGGGGTTATCATGTGAAAGTATTGAACAAAATATTAATATTTATTATATTTGTATAAAATACTTGGTAAATAAATATATATAATGTAATTTGTATTATAACTTTGATATTTAATTACAAGATAATGTAAAAAGAAGACAATGGACAATGCAGTGAATATAATAAATTGATAAATTTGAAGGTAATGAATCTTTGAATGGTAGAAAATAAAGATAATATAACTAATGAAATTATATCTATTTTTAAATTTTTTATAACAAATAATTTTTTTTTAAATAAAGGCATTATAGACATCTAATTCTAAATTAATTAAATGCATATGTATTATTTTTTGTTGTAGCTACTACTTTATTTAGTTTAAGAGCAATAAAGTGGGCAAATTATGCTATGGAACCGTGTCCACCTTGCAAGGTGGACATGCATATCGGAGATGTTCATGCATATGTAAATAAATATTGAATTTGTTTATTTAAATCGGTAATTCAAAATATATAAATGCAAGATAATATTTATTGAATTTTCTAATTGATATTTGGTAGTCGTAGTTTTTCCCTACATGTTTCATGCATTGTGAAATGTGTGTCGTAGGTTATCATGTGAAAGTATTGAACAAAATATTAATATTTATTATATTTGTATAAAATACTTGGTAAATAAATATATATAATGTATTTTGTATTATAACTTTGATATTTAATTACAAGATAATGTAAAGATAATATAACTAATGAAATTATATCTATTTTTAAAATTTTTTATAATGAATAATTTTATTTTTTTTTGAATAAAGACATTATAGACATCTAATTCTAAATTAATTAAATGCATATGTATTATTTTTTGTTGTAGCTACTACTTTATTTAGTTTAATAAGAGTAATAAAGTGGCGTATATACTTTTCATCAACAATAATGCAATCATTGATTTTTAAAAAAAAATAAATACATACAAAAAATATTAATGCAAAAGTATAATTGAAATATTAAGTTTTTTTCTGATCTAAATAATAAAAAGAATATTATGTTTTTTTTCTAATCAAATGATTTTTAAAGTTCTTGATTTATAATCTTTGATGCTTAACTTTGAATGTTATGTATTTAGTCAGACTAATTATTTGAACAAAGTTTATGTTAAATTTTATATTATATATATTTTAAATATATTTTAACATATTCGTAGTATATGTTTAACAATTATGCCAACTCTAATTGGGATGTGGTTCGAAACTAAGACTTTTCTTATAGAAATTAATGTATAAGTTAAAATAATAAATACTTAACGGAATATTCCGTTACTAAAGTTTATGTTAACGGAATTTAGGTTATTTAAGGGAAGAAAATAATATAATAGAGGGTAAATAAGGAAAATCAATAAAAAATACTAAAATAAAAATAATATGAACCATTCATTTTAAGAAACAATAGTATAATATGAACCATTCATTTTAAGAAATAATAGGACCGACATTTTTTTTGTTCCAGTTAAGGCCCTAACATTATTGACTCTTATTAGAATTGTATGTATATATGTATTGTATTGTATATTGTATATAGATTGTAGATGTAGATTGTAGATGTAGATATATATATCATAAGCCAATATTATTCAAAGGCAAAGAAAAGCTACGTTTAAACCCAATTTCATACCCCTAACCTTGTTAACAATAACACACGTGATCTGCCATTTAGGCTAACACATTCCTTGTTAATGTTAACTGTTTTCTTCTATTAATATTAAACTCTGTACTATATATACACATATATATACCAGGGTTATATATGGGGTGGGGTGAGGTGAGTGGGGGCAACTGTCCCCACTGTAAGTCCGCCCGTGTTGGGCGGTATGTAATCTCGATAATATTCAAGCACATTAAATGTCACGTCATCTTGCAAATTCTTTTTAATATAATTATGTAGTGCATGTAAAATGTATTAAACTGTGACATTTTAGCAAGTATCTTTCATCTCTTGTTTAATATTCCAAACAACCTCTCAATACAACCTCGAAGAGAAGAATGTGCACAATTGAGATCTAACGAATGACAAACATTGATTTTTTTTTTAAATGCGATGCCATTTCCATAAATAATTGAACATCGAAGTGCAAGTAGCAATTTCATATAGTGCACCTCAGTGCAAGTAAAATGTATTACAAGTGCATGTAAAATGTATTACATGTGCAAGTAAAATTTACAATGAGCATCAATACTAAATGGACCAAACGTTATAATTAGTTGGACCTAGGTGCACGAATGTTTACAAGGTAAATTACTTGCACTTGTAAGTGACAATAGGTGCACTTGTAAGTGATTTTACTTACACTTTTTACTTACAAAGGTGCACCAGTTACTTGCACTTATAACACATTTACTTCCACTAAAGTTCGAGTTATTTACAAAAAATGTCATTGCTTCGTCTTTTAAAAATTACATCTGCTTCGTTGATCTGAACACGTGGACAGTTGTAAATGATTCTTATTTCTCTCTAGGGCGAGCGTTTGCATTAGAGCGCGCTCCAATATATATATATATATATATATATATATATATAATTTTATAAAATATTATAGAACTCATATGATTGTATAGAATTTTAGAGAAGATTTTAGAGATATAATCATAGTTATACGATCAAGTAGATCTCCACCATCCATTGAGGAGGTGGAATAAGTATAAATAATCTGAGTTCTTAGAAAAGAAAAAGGTAAAGAAAGTCATTTATTTAAAAGGTTTAGGAGCTACTAGTTTATTTTTGAAACATTATTAAATAGAACTTACAAAATAAACAATAAGCATCCATATAAATTCTGTCAAACAGAGCCTAAATCATATATGCTTGTTCATGAGATAAAGGGTTAATAAATTGTTTAGTTAATAAATTGTTTGTAAAATGGAATAGTTATAATTTAATTAAACACTAATTTATAAGTTAAAAAAATCAGCTTAATTTTCAAAAAAAAAAAAAAAAAAAAAAAAAAAACCCTCGACGCGCGAAAGAGAGAGGAGAATTAATCCCGCAATGGTGCAGTGTATAGCCATCACCCAGTAAGACCATGAAAATCAATCTGCCCAATTAACACTTTACTAAATACAAACATGTTTTTTCCAGTTTTTTAATTGACATTGAAATATATCATTTCAGAAGCAAAACCCTACAGTGACCCTGTAAAGGAATTCTGATTTGCGTTCATTTATCAATCATGGCTGGAAGGAAAAGAAGGAAACTGAGATCGTAAGTTCTCTTGTATTTCCCTTCAAGAATTTTAAAGTTTTTTCTTATTATTGATATGTACTAAGGTCTATCTGTTCTTTTCACTTTATTAATTTGTAATTTGAGCTTGTTATGGGTGACGTTTTATGTGTTTTAGGGTATAGATCAAGTTTAATACAGTGAATTGGTATTAGAAAAAGCAACTTTATACATCAAATTGAATTTTTTACTGGGAATTTAAGCATGTTTGTGAAGTTTGAGAAGATTCAGACTTTTGGGGTTTTCATATTGCAGGTGATTCAATCACCAAAGTAGAGAGATGAGAAATGAGAATTTAAAAAAATGGTTCCTGAGGCTCAATTTAGGATTTTTGTTCATTTAAATCAATCTCATTTGCTTCTTGTTTTGTGTAAATTGGAGTTGTCTGGCAAATTGTTGACTTGCTTATACTGTTTTATTCAAAACCAGAACCCAAATTCGAGATGAGATCACTCGCACTGTTCTCATCATGCTTCTCCCTGTTCATTTAAATCAATTCTTGTCGAGTTCTGGCATAGATGAACTTGTTTTTATTTTATGTGTACTAGGGATTAGGAAGATCTGGATAGCTAGTTTGATGTCACTCAAATTTTATAGTAGTCCTCAATCGTGTTAACTTTCAGGTACTTTGGTCACTTTTATCTGTTAGATGTATAACTTGTGCCTGCTTCTTGATTTTAGATTTTCTCAAACATCATGCCTTTCTAATTCGATCTTATTATTGGAAATGGAATTAATTTCTGGTTTGGTTATTGCATTCGGTTTGGGGCATTGCTAATCTCATGTTGTCATTTTCACCGTGGCAGTTAATTGTGAGTTGTGTTTTCTGGCCTTCTTAAACTTGTGTATTTTTTAGTTCTTGTTCTCTCTTAGTCCCTTGTCTTTTGGAATTATTCAAGTGGGAAGATAGAGATTCTTTTTGCATTTGCTTACTAAACAAATAATTATTAATTTTAGATAAATACAGCATTGATGTTTCTAGGTTAGCTGCAACGATCCCGAAAAATGAAGGAGTTTCACACGACAAGAATGAAGAGCCTGTGCAACAGATACAATCAGAACTTCCAAGAGAGATTCTGGAAGTCATTATCGGTCGCTTGAACTTGAGAGATAACATATGTGCTTCTTCTGTTTGCAAACTGTGGCATTCTGTTGCCCTCTTTGTTCGAGTTGCAAATAAACCTCCCTGGCTTATGTTCATTCCAAAGTTTGGTGATCTAGTAGAATTCTACGACCCTTCACTGCGCAAGACTTACTCGGTTGAGTTGCCCGAGTTGCGCTCCTCTAGACTTTGTTACACCAAGGACGGATGGTTGTTGCTATACAGGCCCAAAAATCAGTGTGTGCTGTTCTTCAATCCTTACACTAGGGAGGTGATTAATTTGCCAGAAATGGACTTGACATATCAAATCGTTGCATTTTCTGCTGCACCAACATCTCCTAACTGTGTCGTCTTTACTGTTAAGCATATCAATCCCACAGTGGTCGCTATTAGCACATGTCACCCCGGAGCAACTGAATGGGTGACTTCCAATTATCAAAACCTCTTGCCATTTGTGAGCAGCATCTGGAATAAGTTGGTTTTCTGCAATGGCTTATTCTATTGCCTGAGCCTGACTGGCTGGCTCGGGGTTTTTAACCCAGAAGAGCGCACTTGGGTGGTTCGAGTTCTGCCTCCTCCCAAATGGCCTCAGAATTATTTTACCAAGAACTGGTGGAAGGGAAAATTCATGGCAGAGCATAATGGGGAAATTTATGTTATCTACACTTGCTCTACTGCCAATCCAGTGATATACAAGTTAGACCAAACTAATAAAGAGTGGGTTGAGATGAAATCGTTGGGTGGTATGACGCTCTTTGCAGGTTTCTTATCATCGCAAACAAGGACAGATATTCTTGGGGTGATGAGAAATAGCATTTACTTTTCTAAAGTTCGTTTTTATGGACGGCGATGCATATCATACTCTCTAGACCATAACAGGTACTACCCACGAAAACAATGTCACGATTGGGGAGAACAAGATCCTTTTGAGAACATTTGGATTGAACCACCTGATGATTTTTCAGCATTTGTGTGAGCAGACTTATGAAGCAGGTAATTTTTTATTTTTTATTTTTCAATTGAGCATTCATAACTTCTATTCATCCTGATTGTTTTATTTGACTAATTGTTCATATATGGGAATCACAAGCCTTTATACCTCGAGGAGTTTGTGGGGCTTTGGGCCTTTTGTGGGGGGCAACCCAACCAAGTTGGTCAAGCTGTTAGACTGGGTAACCACAAGGTTACAAGTTCGACTCCCAGTGAGAGCGGCCTATTGGCCTTCTTGGTTTGAGTCAGTCAGCTATGGGCAACCTAAGCTCGTTTACCTCTTGTGGTCTCCTTTGCCAGCTAGGGTCTCAGCGTGGGATCTACACAGTGCACACCCTCGGCTAACACCCAAAAAAAGATATAGCTACTTGTGAGCCAAACTAGCCTCTTTAATGGCTTTATACCTTTATACTACTTTGTAGTATCTATCTTCTAGGTAGGAAAATAGTTCTCGCAACTTACAAAGACTACCATGTTCAAAAACGGGAGGGAGGGAGTGAGATGATGAGAAGAGGTAACAAAGGATCATATTTAGCTTTAAAATTGAGAGAAGAATAGCAAAAGAGATCAATGAATCCCGGGGCCGAATGGCCTTGTTTGTGTTCTAAATAACAATAAAATTGGTAAACTCTTGCACCTACATACACATCTGTTGTATTCCGTGACCGCCTGCAACATAGATTTTATCCATCCCTTGATGATGTGATTCTGCCGGCATGCCAAAAGCTAACTCTCTTCAAAGACATTTTCAATGTGTCCCCTGTAGTACTGACAGTCTCCTTTCTATATATATTAGACTAACTTTTGATGCTTCAAAAGTGAGAACAATAAAAGATACAAGAATTGTTTGTTGATTCAACAGAACAACCTTAGGATATGGAAAATGAAACTTTCTAGAGATACAACTGTAACAAGTATGTTGTATATCTTCCAACTAGAGCTGTGTAGGTCATTCATTAAATTTCCGATCCCAAGCCATTGCTATAATTATTATTATTATTATTATTATTATTATTATTATTATTATTATTATTATTATTATTATTATTATTATTATTATTGTTATTGTTATTATTATTATTATTATTATTATTATTATTATTTTTCCTGAGCTAGTAGAATTTTTGGCTTGCAACTATAGCATTACATGCTTTTATGCTTTGAGACACCCTTTGGATCCAAGGCTAAATCTGTGACAAGATACAGAACACATGGAAGTATTAAGCTTTTGGCCTAAGATTGACAGAATTTGTGTCCTTATGGCCTTTTCTTCATAATGTCTTCAAGAAGCTAAGCACTCACAACAGTACTTTACCAAAGCTATTGTCCGCATGGGCAGCTCAGTTGGTCCTTAGGTGGTAGATTGTAGGCAACGACACAAAATCGAGTCCTGGCAACCGTAGTGTAAGAGCTACACCAACTGTGGTGGGCTCCTTGTGGACACCAAGTAATAGTCATCCGCCTAAGAGGCCGCAAGTTGTCGTGTGATTTGCCCCTCCACTATCGTATCGGACCAGGGTGTAGGGTCCTTGGGCCGAGAGAATTTCTCCTTTTTGTGGGCAAGTGCTTTACAAAAGCCCTTTGAGTTCCTTCATTGAAAACAGTTAATGTGTATTAAATAGTGATTATTATTATTTGTTGTAATTAGGTGGATGCTTATGGTTGTGTATGTTTTCTAGAGCTGAAGTACAGTGCAGTGATCCAGTAGAATGGACAGATGGGCACAAGTAGGAGATCAAATAGGCCTCTCTTTGGTGCTGAACAGATAACCCTTAAAAATGGCTCTTGATGTCAATTCTAGGACTCATCAGAATTGATTCCCAGCAAGTTCTCATTTTTGCGAGCTTCTCATTTTTGCGAGCTTCTCATTTAAACAGTGTTTTTCCATAGAGGCAAATTTGTACAAGTAGTGCACTTGAGATTCTACCCTTTTTCTTCAGACTTTGAATTTCATTACATGGAGATTTTTTCCTACTAATGTATTTGTGTAATTTCAATTTTTATATGCACATACCTTGTGTATTATTTATTTTAAAATATGTCATGATATATATAGAGGAAAATTTAATTTTTGGTTTCACACTTTTGGTAAGGTATGAACATTTTTTTCCTAACTTTTTTTTTAAAAAAATTCTGTTTTACTTTTCTATTGTCCCATCCTTTATATAATAAAGCTATATGGTTTGGGAAATAATTAATGCTACAATTAATGTCACAACATCTTTTATTAAAAAAAAAAACACAACGTTTTAAAAATAAAATAGCTATATATTATATAATCATATAAAAAATATACTTTTGAAAAATAAAATAGCTATATATTATATAATCATATTAGAGTTTAAATTTACACATACAAAATTTGAAATTTACTTTCCAAATGTAATTATCTTAGTTATTATTCGTATTGTGAAAATTATAATATAGATGAAATACAATTAAGAATAAATCAATATAATTATGTAAATTCTCTCTATAAGTTTATTTGAATATGCACATAATTAGATATTATATTAACCATACAAAATTATAATTTTAATTGTAATTTTGTATTCTATAAAAATAATAAATACTTGACCAATGGAAGGTCAAAAATATTATTATATTAAATAATTTAAAATATTTTAGTTTTTCTATTTTTTATTTATATTTATAATAACATAATTTTTTTCCGTGCATCGCACGGTTGAATTACTAGTTATATATAATAGAATATCTAATAAAATTAATATTTAATAATAATTAATAAATACAATAGAAGAGGGGAGATAAAACACAATAAAACAAGAAAATGAAGTTAAGTATAAAGAGAAAGGGAATATGCCCATAAAATACCAAAACTATCCTTAATTATTAATCAATAAATTATTAGAAATGCCATTAGAACCTAATTAAAATTTTAATTAGAACGAACTTGTAAAATATTTAAGACTAAAGTAAACCTTAAAGACAGGAGACCAAAAAATGGAACTTAATAAAAACTGGCAATCTGGCATATAATAATAATCACCAACAGACTAGACTTTAAGATAACATCATTCATTGCCTTAGAAGGTACACAAGGCTAACAGACGGACTACATCAGATAAGATACATATAGTCAGTCCATTAAGAATGTGGCCTTTGACATGGAGGTCACCTCACCTAGAGGGCAGTGTAGGGCAGGGCAACAGACTCTTTCAGTCAAATTGCTAATACATTAAGATACATTTCATTCATTGCGGTCGGAGCCACAACCACTCAAGCCAATTGCGTGTGGGCTAGTTAGTAAGGGTTATATCGGCTTCTCCCACGCCCACGCCCACTGTCACCACCACCACGCCTTCCTCCACTTGAACCTCGGCCACTGCTGCCAAAGCTTCCTCGTGCTGCAGGTGGCGGTGTGTGCAGAACTCCTGGCTGTTGCCTGCCATTCAGACAGAAATGGTTTAAGAATTAAATTCTGACAGGATTCTGGTTATAGTATCAATGAGCTGTTTGGCTTGAGTTACAATTCCCCCATATACATCTTTTTATCAGCTGGTTGGTCAATTACTACTATTATTATATATATAGATTTATATATAGATAATATATAATATAGGGTACTTACAAGACATATCCAATCCTTCCATCGGGCAAAAGCATTGGCATCATTGCCAAGCCAGCAGGTGAAGCTCCTCTTCCATAAAGTAATGGCTGCAAAAGAATTAGCACTAGCATTGATGAATGAAGACAAACAAAATGCAAAAGATAAATTCATAATCAAGAGTTTCAAATTATACCCCCAAGGAGAAAACAACAAAATAAACACAATTTCATTTCATTTCATTCCATTCCAACAAAAGCGCTTCTGGCATCATTATAGCAATAGCCCAATATTACTCTAGCAATAGTTGTGGGTAAGCAAAAAAGGCACAACATTTTTTAAGACTAGTTGAGCAACCTTTAAGTTGGTAACATTAAAAAGTGTCAAATAGAATAAACTAGTCTGCTCCATATGTATAAATGTTTGTTGCTGTATCTTATAACTATTCAAACTTGACTGAGAAACTTCTCGCAATTGAAGTAGCATGCATACACAGTTAGTTGTGCATTTTAACTAATCTATAGTAGTCCCAACCATGTCATAAAAACTTAAAAAAGATTTCTACCTGGGCAATTCCTGCACCTACAGCACCATAAGGAGTTCCAATCATGCCATATCCAACATGAGGTGGATAGGTCGGAAGTGTAACTCCTTTCTGCGAAACTGATGGTCCAGAAGATTTCTGATCTGCCTGTGGCTTTGCAAGTGAGCAGTCCAGAACTTTACCTATCAGAATGAGATTAGACATCAGACCAAGCACAATTGTAATATCAAAATATTAAATCCAATGAGAAGATCAGAAAGCCATTATCACCATCAATTTCATATTTCTCAGTGTTCTTCAGGGCCTTCATGGCACTCGATCTTTCAGCAAAATGAACAAAACCATATCTACTCTCTTCATGCCCAGCTTTAGCTGGAGGTAGAACAACTTTAGTAATCTTCCCATGATGTTCAAATAAATTTTTCAACTGATCTTGAGTAATATTTCTGGGCAAGTTCTTAACATATACAGCTTTAACCTGTAGATTGGTAAAATAGTAATCCTCTGGTCAAACAGCTTGATCATACACACAAGAGCAGGCTGCCATGCTGTTCTCTTAAATACTGGATTTAAGTAGTTGAAAATCACACACATTATCCATTCAAGTAACAAGTATATATCGAAGTCATGCCAGGAGTTCTCTTAAAACACAGCAATTGAATCAGTCTTAATTAAAATTGTGAAAGCACCAGAAGTGTAAAATTAGTTAGTACAACATACAGAGTAACACACAAAGTGAAAGAAAAACTTAACAGTCATTAAATTATATTGGATGGTGGTAGAATACATTTCACACATCACCAATCAGTTTAGTCAGGTTGCAATATCAAAGTAGACATGATCAGAAATACCATTTGTTCCTTAGTGGAGAATTTCATTAGCAGAAATCATCAAAGAATGAGGTTGAAAAAACTGATAGCAGAGTTTCTTTTAAGAATTTAAAAATAAAAATAAAAAGGAAAAGAAGAAAAGATTGGCAAAATGAGTAATGTGAGAACCTGTGAAGAAGAAGCTGAAGAATCTGTGTTTTTTGGGTCTGCCCAGCTCACAGTCGGAGCGTTGTCATCAAGCTTAAATTTTGGATCAGACATTTTCTGTCGTGAATATTCAGCACATGCATTATTATAGTACTCAATAAATGCAAATCCACGATTTCGACTTGAGTTCTGTGGATCCTGCAGTGAAGAAGATTTAAAGTTACAAGATTAAAAATGGTTTGCATCACAGAGCACAAAAAAGTACGGAGTATAAACCCCATAAATTCACATGTTAAGCAGCAGATGACTTGTGGACATCAACGGAAAATATAATGTAACAACAAGATAAGGTGTGCACACCCACCTTAACCAATTCTACATTAATAGCACCAGGCCCAATCTTGGTCACAACCCTCTTCAGATCTTCCTCCCCCCAGTTTCTGGGAACATTACCAATGAACAGCCGATGTTTCGCTTGAGCTTCAGAGCATTTTATCTTTCTCCCCTAACAAAGAAATAAATTTCTTACAAAGTGAGAAATGAGAACCGTAGCAGGGAAGGCAGAAAGGGTTTTTGGTTTACAAGATATGTACTTCCAAATAATAATAAAAATAAAATAAAAAGAATCCGAAAAGATAGACATTCCTACACAACCATGAAAATTGTCAACAAAATCTCTGAAAATTATTTTACAAAATGATGGATAAAAATACAGGTGGATAAAGTGTAAGGAAAACTACAATCCACTCACCTTTAGTTCAGTATTGTTTAGCTCCTTAATGGCCTTGGAAGCCAATTCTTTTGTTCTAAAAGTGACAAAAGCATACCCTTTATTCTGATTTGGTTCCTTTCCCTTCATTATCCTTACCTGTAATACCATGCACATCAACAATGTGAATTTGGAAATAACACATAGCACATGTAAAAAATAGGAAAACTGTTTACCTCTGTAACTTCCCCTATTGACTCACAAAACTGCCTCATATCACCTTCAGAAGCATCTTGACTAATGCCACCTATGTAAACCTCTGAACCATGAGGTGGAAGTGCAAGAAGCTCATTATGCTTTTTCTCATCCACTTCAAGATCAACATTCACTGAATCATTTTCTTCATCATCATCATCATCATCATCATTTTCCTCTTCGTCCTCTTCTTCCACCTCCTCTTCAACCTCTTCTTCCTCCTCCATTTCCACTTCTTCTTCTACTTCCTCATACTCAACCTCTTCCTCCTCTTCATTGTCTTCATCAAGGTCAATCTGCTCTTCAGTCTCAATTATCTTCTCAGGTTCCCTTAACTTAGGAGCTGCAGCACTAGCTCTGGTCCTCGGCATCTTATATAACTAGAAAGATAAGTTTGTGCAGCAACTCTGATGGAAGCACAGAAGCCAGAAGCATTTCCAATAAAATGAAGAAAATTGTGGAAAGGTGGAAACAAAAATAAAGGCCAAGTGGATTTCAAGAATAAGAATCTCAAATGAATTTGCTCCATGAGATATAGCTGAAGTTTCAATGTGATCAATTCAATAAAGGGTTGAAAAATACTACACAGATACAAACAAAGACAAGTAAGAGAGAATGCTGAATGATAACAAGAGGTGACATCTCTCAGCAGGTGCAAAAATGAAGCAATGAATTTCTTGAAATGTAGATATAGATGCCTGGAAGGTCAACATTACAGCTAGGATCAATGTATTCACAAACAAAATAGAAAAGGAAATGAAAAAAAGAAAAAAAGGAGAAAACAACAATGAATGTGAAACTGCGATACTGGTGATCAGATTTTGAATGGAATGTTACTCAGCAACAAATCCAGGCATCCCAAATGAAAATACTATAGAATATCAGTGGAAGTCAACTGAAAGCTAATTGGGCATGGTCATTAATATACCATCCCACTCAAAAAATAATTCCAGTTCCAAAACAAATGTCCAAACCC